GCAGCAGTCAAGAAATCAAACAATGTATTGCATTAGACAAATCTGCTACACAAGACCTCTTTAAAGTGTTGAAGAGCAAAGATATCAGTTTAAGGGCTAAGGTGTGCCTGACCTAAGCCATGGTGTTTTCAATATCTTCACATGCATGTGAAAGTTGGATAGTGAATAAGGAAGACTGTAGAAGAATTGATGCATTTGAGTTATGATGTTGGAGGAGAATATTAAAAGTATCATGCAATGCCATAAGAACAAAACAATCTGCGTGGAAGAAATACAGAGTGTTCCTTGGAAGCCAGGATGGCCAGACTTCATCTCTCCTACTTCAGACATATTGTCAGGAGGGACAAGTTCCTGGAAAAGGATATCATGTTTGCTAAAGTGGAGGGTCAGAGAAAAAGCGGCAGACCCCCAATGAGATGGATTGGCACAGTGGAAGCAGCAATCGGGTCAAACATAGTAGCAGTTGCGAGGTTGGCCCAAAACCCAGCAGTGTTTCCTTCGGGTGTGTGTAGGGTCTCCATGAGTTGGTACTGATTGGATGGCACCTAGCAACAATAACAACATGCACAGTTTGTTTTATCTCATTGATAACAATCCTCTCAATGTAATATTACTTACCTCACTTCCTCCTGTGTTTCCTGTTTCCATACCTCCTTCTTTCCTTCTTTGGACTTTGTCTTTGGATAAATGCCCTTTTGATCCCAAATGGTTGATGATTCTAAGGTGTGTGTACCTCTCTAGTGTTATTGTTGCCTTTATAGATCTATCCATTGTTTGGATGTAAATTGAGCCATGGGTGTGAGTTCAGTTCACAACCTCAAGGTAACTAAGAGCCAATTGACCTTCGTACCCCAAGACTGTGGTCCTGAACCCCCAGTTCCAGTGACTCATTTCCTCAAGGTGATGGTGGACTAGACAGAGGTACATACTTTTTTCACCCCTTTTTACATAAAGTTAAATTAACATGTCCAGTTCTCACATATAGTAAATAATAGGTAAGGGAATAAAATGTATGCAGTCTAGTTGCAGACTCATGATAATATTCAAACGTAAGTTTGTATTCTGCACTATAAGTTTGTACCAAAAGTTCAATCTGATAGGCAGACATAATAGCTTTTTTCAGTGGTAGTAATTAAGACAGAAAGAAGTAAAAAGATGTAGATGCGATAGGGTACTGTCCCAGGAAAATAAAACAAAATAG